ACGACTGTGGGTACAGTTGAGGTCTTTGAATGTATCCCTATTTGTTACATTGTAAAGTGGGTTCCCTTTATGCGGATTCAAGTTATGTGCAGTTTTCCAGGAACATATGTACTGCAGAAAGCAAGGGAAACCTGTAATGGAGAGCTTAGCAGTCAATATATAATTAAAGAGGAGCTGAAATGCTAAGCGATCAATAGAGTATCCTGCAGGTACAAGGCATACCCTAGTTTCTTTTAAAGCAGATTCAATTCCATCTTTGTGTTGATGCATTTGATCTATGTGGATTCGCCAGTCCTAAAATACATAAAAAAGTCAAATTAAATTACTAAATTATACATTTAAATAATACTGTAAATGAAAAAGGATATACAAAGAGATGCCTACACGCAATCCTGTTCATATCTGGTGCTGTAAACTGTTGCCGTGTGCAGTTTTGCAGCTATATTCCTACTCTGAGGGCATTGCTTTATGGTGACATGATTTATCAAACTCATGAAGATCACACTGTGACATTTGAATTCAAAACCAAACACTGAACATCCTCACTGATGGGACTGAGGCCAGGATCTTTATAAAAGCACTTCTGATACAGAACACTTTGCTGGGGCTTCCAGGCACAAATATCGATTACTGCTTCATTAGTTGTGGTAGGTCTCAGGCAGAGAAAAAGCACACATAACACATCCAAAGATGCAGTAGCATTTGAATCATTAGCTCTCCCCATTCCTAGCCATATAAAGACAGAGAAAGGAAATGAGCAAGCAAGGCTACCCAGCTCCCTTATCTTGGAATGCAGGGAATAAATCTATATTACATTTGCTGGATTATATGCACATTATATTAGGATATAGGAAAAATACAATATATAATATTACTCTTCTCTAAAATTTCCCACACCATACCATGGCTGATTCTTGAAGGATGCTTAAACACATGCTTACCATTAAGCACAAGTATCACTTCCATGAGAACATTTACCTGCTTAAAATTAAGCATGTGCTTAAATGCCTCGCTGGACTGGAGCCTACATGTGGCAGGGAGAAAGAAGCACAGATCACAGGCCCAGCAGCTGTGAAGCATGTGCAGCCTGCTACCTGTAATCTGTTCAGGAATTAGGCAAAGGGTGGGTACAGAACGTCTATTTTGTGTCAGGGCAGGCAGTAAAGAACTGAAACTTGGCAGGAGACCTAAGGTTACAGGTTTGTCTTTTGTTGATTGGTGAAGGTTTGTGATGATTTGCTGGACTCTGTCGCTTAAAAACATACTTTAGATATGCACACACAATTCATTTTATAATGGGCTGTGTTAATAATCAGTTAACCTTCCCTGTATGGGCACACAACTTGGGAAATCATGCACAAGGTGATGTGTGGTGCTTTCTCTATGCTGTGTGAAAAAGGCCAGAACAGGAGGCAGACCTACTTCCAGTGCACTAAAGCAGTGTTGTACAACTTCCCTGAAGCTAGAGGCTGCAGGTGGTGTTGTTGTGTGGTCCCTGGGCTATATGCTGTAAGGGACATACTGAGGGCTGTGTCTATGGCACGCAACCTCCTGCAGCCCTGTAGGTGGCATGTGGTTCCTTATAACCCCGGCAGGTGGCATCTGGCCCCCCCACCCCAACCACATGGTCTGCACCAGCAGCATGTGGCCTCCTGGGGCCTCCTCCATCATGTGGCAGCAGGAGAGGCAGCCACTATGTCATACCCTTTCATTTACAATGTAGTATATGGAGCATGGAATTGAGATCAAGCATTCTAGTTTAGTTTCTCCCACTAACTGGCTTTAATAAAACTTCAACACAAAGCGTTAGCGTTAATTTCCCTATACTAGGGAGCCAACAACACACTGTCCTTGCTATTTAACCAAGAGACTAATTAACATGGTCCAAACTTAGGGTATGTCTACACAGAAATCAGTGTACTGCACATACCCAAACTACCTAGTTTGGGTTCTGGGAACCATTTAGCCATGGCAGCACAATGTGAATTAGCCCATGCTTAATTCCAGGTTTCCGTAGCTAAATGGTTTCTGGTACTTGAGCCACCCTATTTACAGCTAGATGAGGTATCCTGAACATTGCACTAGAGACTGCAATACAAATATGCTCTTGGAGTAGAAGTGCCCCCCAAGACCATATGCTGTGGGCTGTGCCAACAGCGCACAGCATCCGCTGCAGCCCTGCAGATCCGAATGAGGTCTTCCATGTGGTTGACCATAAAAAACACCCAAAAGAAGAGCCATGTGCTAAGCTATTATGTTTCTTTATGCTGTCCCAAGTAGATCTTTTTTTAGAAGCTAAATTAATGGTTTGATTTGAAAAGCGCTTTCCATATTTTAAAAAGCTTCCATTGCAAGTACATATCAGCAGTTCATTAAAGCGTTGTGCAATTAGTGCAGTGCTAATTATTATATAAATTAGAAGAAACATTAAAATAAGTAATTCTGCTACTGAGTTTTATTGCAGGGGCAAGCGAGTGAGAAAAGTTCAAATTCAGTAAAAAAATGCCTCACTGGAACCCATGTCATGTAAAAGATTGGGAGAAATAAAAACGGAAGATGATAAACTACAAACTGCTGATCTGACTCATTTAAGTCAAAGCATACCAACGCACAAATCCACCCCCTGGTTCACCTTATTGTCAGTTCTAATTGTAACTTTCAGCTGTGGAAGAACACGTTCCACTTCCAGGTTCCACTCTGCTGCATCTGTCGTGGACTCTAAAATCTCTTCTTGCTTTGTGGAGTTGTTCATGTCCTAAATGCACACATTTTTAGAGGGGGGAAAAAGTACAATTTCTAGGTGATCTAAGTTACAATGGATTAGCCTTAGATCAGTGCTGCTCAACCTCCAGTCCTCAGAGCCTTGGAATCTTGCTTGCGGGCTCCCCCTGGGTCAGGAATTTTGGCAGTGGGGGAGCAGTGGTAGTCAATACTGCCACTCCTCCCCACTGCCAAAATCCCAAGCCCCGTGCAAGGATCCCCACACATGGCCAGATCTGGGTGAGACCACATCCCCTTCCCTCCACACGGCTGGGTTGGGGCTGGGCTGCACTCCTTTATCCCCACAGGGCTGAGCCATGCCCCCTCCCACTGTACAGCTGGGGTTTGGGGGTGGGCCATGCCCCCTTCTCCCCTTGCAGAGCCGGGACACACCTCCGTCCCTCCATCTGGTCAAGCTGGGGTGGGCCATGCCCCCTCCCCTTCTTGTAGGGCTAGATTGGGGCTGGGTCACCACCTTCCCCTGCCACCAGGCTGGGTCAGGACAGAGCCAAGCCACCTTTCCCCATGCAGCTGAAGTGGGGCTGGGTTGCCCCTGGCCCCAATTCATACAGCCGGATTGGGCCCTGCTGTGCAAAACCAAGGCCCCTGATTGGGTCCACTGCCTAGACGAAGCCTGCAGAAGGACCAAGCACTGCCCATCAAGACCTGAAGACAAAAAGTTGGAGCACTGCTGCCTTACAGCATAGAAAAAAAATGGAAAAAATATTAGATTTTAGTCTTCTGAAGCATTATTTAATCTATATTACTTTATGATTCATTCCTTCTTTTTCTGACTCTACGGTTGCTTGCAGATATGAAAACAAACAAACTGCCCCCCACCCCCCACAGTCCCCTCACACCCACAAACTCAGTGTGCTCCCATGCCAATACCAGCACATGCCCAGAAGAGGCATAGTGTTATTTCGACCCAGCTCTGCAGCATCTGTATAGATTGGGCGCTTTAGTGGGGTTTTTTGGGCCTTTTTATCTAATAGCTGACTGAATCAGCTATTAGATAAAACCACCAAAGAGCCCCGCTGAAGCACCCGATCTATACAGATGTTGCAGAGCTGGATTGAACTAACAGGCTGCTTCTTCAGGTAAAGCGTGTGGCTTTTTTTCACATTTGCAAGCAGCTTATGAGTAAGAGGAATTAGAACATCTTTTCAGATTGTATTAACTATAGAAAATGAGTTAATAATACATATTCCAGATAAAATAAGAGCCAGAACACTATTTGAGCCACAATCTAAAAAAACCCAAACAAATAAATAATGTGTATTTTCCATGTTCAATTTTGCAAGCTGATTCTTCAGTTTTCCAGCAGCAACAGTTTAGAAACCAGGTGCATTTGCTTTTTTTAAGTTTCTCTCTCAACTTTTCAAGTTTAGATTGTATTACTGCCTTTATCCAAATACAAAACAACCCCCCAATAATTAGATTCTATAGCTCAAAAATTGTAAGTCTGTTATAATTTTTGAGTTATAAAACCTAATTATGGGGGGTCATCTTAAATTTGCCCTCCCCCCACTCCCCATCTCTGACTCCCATAGCTGAGAAAGCAGGGGCTGGGGCATAAGTGACAAGGAAAGCAGCAGCAGGGGAGGCAAGTGGCCTGACCTCCCCTTATCCCACCCTGATGCCTGTACCCCCCTTAACACCTATCCCCCTTCTCCCTGTCCCCTCTGTCATTTGCCTCCTTCCCCCGACCACTTGACCCCACCACTCCTGTCGCTTACCCTATGCAGCTGCTCTGGTTTCAGCCATAACCCCAACCAGATAGGAGTAGCTCTGGCCACAGCCCCAGCCCTGGGTCAGGGCTGGGGGTGGGGCTACAGTTGCTCCCCTGCCACTGTGCAGTCTCCCCAATGCCACACACTCTGGTCTCCCCAGCCCCTAAACTGCATGGGCTCTCCTGTGCTCTGCGTACCCCATCCCACACTGTGCTCTCTCTCCTGTGCTCCACCTCCCTGCATCACATGATCTCCCCTGTTCTCCCACCCCCATGCTGTGCTCTCCCCCACTCCCTCACTCCCTTGAGCTCTCCCCACTGCACAGACCCACTATCATACCAGCCACCTCAAGCTGCCCTGGCCCTGGCCCTGGCCCTGGCCCTGGCCCTGGCCCAGCAGCCATCTGCCCCATGCCAGTACTCAAATCCAAGATGAGGCTTTTCTTCCTGTGTCAAATGCGAGAAACAACCCTCATCTTGGATTTGAGTAAATATGATATGCTTATCAGGCTAAAGTGATAGCCTTTGCTCATGACAACTGTTTTATTAAAACAGTGTAAACAGGTTTATGACAACTGTTTGATTAAAACAGTGTAAACAGGTTCCTTTTTAAGCCGTAGAGATTTCCAACTGTTATTAAAATGCTGGCAGGCAAACAAAAACAACACAAAACTTACCGATTTATAAGTTTGTGTCTTCAGAGCAATCAGATCAATAAAGTTCTCTTCACCATCTGACTCTTCTTCCTTAAAAGGGAAGGGCATGGGTATGTACTTAGTAAATATTGAATTCCTTTTCTTTCAAAAACCATGATGCTTTCCACCCCTTTAAAACACAGCACAACATGCAATATTTCCCACGTTTTGAAAAACCACAATTTGGCATTTACTGAAACTCAGCTCTTGTGTAGCATGCTTCTTATGAAGAATGAAACTTTGACTAGGATTTTCATTACAGCTATTGGAAGGTAGACACTGAAAACTAGGTTTTCCATTTGAAAACAATCACAACTCTCTGTTTTTCCCAATTACATTCTGGATGATAAATGATGTGGCACATTCTATTAACAGCTGCAAGGCAGAGAGGCCAACAATTAAATTACTACAGCTTGACTGGGTTCACACCAGTGGCAAATGTGATTCTTATCCACAACCCAGCTACCACTGGCTCTGTTGCAAACTACTCCACTCAGGGACTGTCTTTTTGCTATCTGCTTATACAGTGCCTAGCACAACGGGGCCCTCCTCTACCACAATGCAAGCAACGGAAGTTCTGGGAAGCACAGACTCATTGCAGGAAGGTGGTCAGGTTTTATATTCACTGGATTATGTCCAGCCAGGTCCTCGGGGGTTTTAGACCCTTTTTGCCTATTGAAAGAAATAAAACAAGCAAACAAAAATGAAAGGAAGGCAGCATATGTCTAAAACTGAATTACTATTTTTAAAAAAATAAATCAATAAGTAGCCTTAAATCCCTGAATTAGTCAAATCAACAAATAATCAATCCTTATAAATCCAAAAAGGCACTGAAGGAAGTGTCTCTCTGCTTAGTTATAAATGCCAGGTAATGTTGTACTAACACAAGTTAGAGCACATAGTTTATTTTAGTGTGGAACCTTGCAGCCAATGGCTGTGAAGATTGCCACAGACTATAGATTGTGCATTCTGAATAGCTTTAATAGGGCTGTATTTAAGGTTGCTTAAACTAGAAGAAAGTTGGTTTGCTGGCATTTTTTCTGTGTGAACTTTAAGTTCAGAGTCACTCATAGCTACAACCAGCACAGTCTGTAAATCAATGTTTTCTCTTTCTCGCTCTAAAACCTGGTCATAGTTCTCGGGAACATGAGCCTTCTCACAATGTGAGCAAATGACACATACACCAATGTACTCTGCCGTTACACTGGTGTAAGTGTGGCATGAATGCACAATGTACAGCTCCACGCCGTACACCTTATCTTCTCCAAAATACAAAGTTACCCCTTGCAGTCAGAAGTAATTATACCCCAGTATAAGTCACCCATTTATTCACCGTATAGCAAGTACAGGTAGGCTCAATTTCACCTTGGGGTAGCTGCTTGCTCAATGCTATAGGTCAGGGGTTCTCAAAGTTTTTAGCTGTGGCCTGGCAAACCGCAGCCCGGAGTGGCCACGGTCTTGCAAACCGCAGCCCAGCAGTCACAGCTGACTGCAGCCAGAATTTCTGGTCAGAAGACATGTAAGAATACTCCCATCCCCGGGCAGGCAGGTGGGCCAAATCCTGTGCTGCTGCGGGCCCTGTGGAAAGAACTGTGACCTCTCTTCCCGGCTCTGGGTGATAAATGATGTGGTCCATGGTGACTTCCAGTCCAGCAGCCAACCATGCTGCAGACTGGCAGCCGACCCGCCATGGCCCGGCATGGGGCCGCAGCCCAGGGATTGAGTACCCCTGCTATAGGTTATTACTGGCGCTCACTTCCTGTAGATGGCTATATACTTTGAGGAAATGGTCATCTTCCAACTATGGACATTGATGTAACTTACAGCAGCAAACATACCAATGTAAGTCACACCAGTCCGAGCATGTGACATGTCTGCCACCTTCAGGCACATTGTTGACCCAAAAGGAGCGGCTTCTCAGCTTTACCTTTGATTCCTAGGATTTACGATTTTCACTTTTTCTGTCTGAGAGTACTTCCCTCCAAAGGTCTTAGGACAGATCAGGAGGAAAGTGAACTTACGACTGACTTAGGTCAGGGTGTCAAACTCACCTGGCTCCCTGGACTGGATGAATGGCATGGGGCCCTCCACAGGCTGGATCAGGCCCACAGAACCTCAGCACCCACTTGCCTGATGCAGCACAGGCAGCACCTATCTAGACCAGTCTAGGACACCAGCCCAAGAGAGTACCACGGGCAGCATAGCCTGGAACTCAACCCAAGTGAACATCCCAGTGCGCAGGCAGTGCCACTGGTGGCACAGCCCAGGATCCAGCCCAAGTGAGTACTGTGGGTGGCACACATTCTAGGTACTGCATGCTTCGATAGTTTGGCACAGCAAAAGGATAGCACTGAGGGCTGAATTATGAGGCTCTGTGGGCTGGATCTAACCTGCAGGCTGGATGTTTGACACCCGACTTAGCTCACCTTTATCATTCCTCCCACTGGGGCCCAAAACTGGTCACTTATAAGTCTAGGGCCTGGAGTACAGTGACCAGTTTTGGGCGACTCACTTCACTTTAAAAAAAGATGTGAACAAATTAAAAGCAATCCAGCTGTGAGTGACAAAAATTAAAAGAGGCTTGCAAAGCATGACTTATGAGAACAGTCTGAAAGGACTAGAACTGTTTAGTCTGGAAAAGAAAAGACTGAGGGGGGGGGTTTGAGACCAGGCTTTTAATATCTGAAGGGCAATTATAAATAAAATGGTGACTGATCTTTCTCTGTGGCTGTAAATTCTAGGCTTTAGTTTGGAGAAGGGAAGACTGAGGGAGAATTTGATAACACTCTTCAAATACCCTAGAAGATGGAGATAGACTATTCTCTATGGCCACAGGGGATAGGACACAGAACAATGGTCTTAAATTGCAGAAAGGAAAATGACCTTTCTCCTTATGAGGATGGTTAACTATCACACCAGGTTATTCAGCGAGGCTGTGGAATTACCATCCCTGGACATTTTTAAGATCAGGTTGGACAAACACTTGACTAGGATGTTTTAGGCAGGGGTGATCCTGGTTTAAGCAGCAGGGGTTGGACCAAATGACTTCCTGAGGTCCCTTCCAAATCTACTATTCTATGTTTCTATGAGGCACGTAGGATTGGGTTCTGTAGTAGGTAAGTCCTGTGAAGGTTTTGTTTGTTTGTTTATTTGGTTGTTTTTTTTACAGTCACAGGCCACCTCCTGATGGCTCTTCTCAAAGCATGAAAACCATACAATCATTTATACTCTCTAAAATACATGTAATAACAGAAGCCCTTCCCCAAAGACTTTACAATCTGAACTAAAACAAGAAAGTAACAGTAAAGAGAAGCTAACACAGTGAAAAGCAGGAGAAAATGGGGAGGAGACCAGCAGAAAAAAAACATATTAGAAAAAAACAAATTACTTGGGTCACAAAGAAAAAGCTCAGAATTGATCAATATTGGTATAATCAGAAACAATCACTAACACCTACTGCAATATCCTCCTCCAGCTTATTAAGTGTCAATTCTGCATCATCTTCTGCTATTGCTTCTTCTTCCAGCTCTTCCATTGGGTATGCTGGTCTGAAACAAGGTACACCGTATATGTTCACAGAGCATTACAGAATTCATGAACAGCAAATGACTACCATGTGATAAATGTCCTCCGGAGGAGCTATCAGCAAACAAACATTTGTACAAGATGCAGAGATGATGCTGACTAGAGCCAATGACAGAGCAAGCACAGGAAATTAATATTTTGCACACACAAAATGCTAGTCCTGACATGAAAAAAATTAGCCATTTTAGATTATTCCTGAAAGCAAGGATTAAATACTATGCCAAATGGTGTGGTGTGTCTTTGCTGTGAAAGCACCCAGGGATTAAGGTCGACAGGGTTTCTCATTGCTGACTAACCTTACAAATGATTGAGTCCCTACAGATTAATTTTGTCTGATGGACACAATTTTAGTAGTAAACAAACAATATGGTACATACAATTCATTTCCTTTGTACTATTTCAGAGCCCAACTAAACAAACACACACATTTTTCCTGCAAGTTCTTCTTCATCCACTTTTCTCCTCCAGTTTTCCCTCACAGGACTGTTTTCCATTACAAGGTTTAAATTTCCTATTTGCACCAAGATACCAAAGGGAGAATACTTCCACTGGAATGTGTTAGTACTGAGAGGGTCTGATAGGACATTGATTTATGTATTAGTATCCAGTGGTTTGACTGGTAAATGATTGTGCTATAGCAGAAAATAAACAAAAGGAAACAAGCAAATCCAGTTAATCAAGAAGGAAAAATAATGCCCCAAACTGATTCCTGGTATCATTTCACTGAACTGTGTGGTAATGCATTAGGAATTAACTTGTCTTGCTGTTCCTAACCATAGTGAATTCATCATTTAAGTGTAATGAAGCAGTAAACAAAATATTTCACATTTTATTTACAGCTATGTCTGTATACAATAGGGTGGGCATCCTGTATGACTAGCATTTGAAAACAAGGTCTACAGAAAGATTTGTACAAGTATACTGTACCTTTTCCAGCTAAAGCCAGTATATTTCAAGGCTTCTTCAGCTAAACAGTCAAGGACATAACAAGCTTGTTCTCCAGAACCTGCCTTTAATTTTGAAGGAGGAAAATCCACTGACCTCCCCTAAAACAAAGTGATATAATATTAACTGCTGCCCATTGATCACACTTTCTTTCAGAGAGGTAACAGCATTTTCTTCACTAACACCAGAGGGTTCACAGCACATGAAAATCCTGGAAACTGTTATCCATATTTTAGTTCTAACATTTCCAGTCATGTAAGGAGGATGGAAAAAACCAAAAATGGCAGATGAGAGATGAAGGTCCAGGAAGGGCCACTGAAAGGGTAGCTATAGTAGGAAGAGAGAGAGAATAAAGAGGACTGAGGGAAGAGAATGGCCAAGAAAAGACAAAGAGAAAATGATAAGGTACAAACAGTTGAAGCAGAAAATCAGGCATGGCATGAGAAATAGTGTCTGTTCACTGCTGATTCATTTGTTCCTGGTAATATTTGTATGTTACACAGAGAAAACAGATGTGCATCTTGTAACTTTATGGAAAGTCACTGCTTTATGGAAAGGCCTCCCTAGCACTCCAAAGAGATGCTCCTTTCTTAGTCTTCCACAGGACGGCACCTTACACGTTACAATGAAGTAACAGTTTATGCCTTTTATTTCTTAATAAAAAAATTAATTCAAAATACAGAGCCAATGCCAAGTCATTCACAATACTAGAAATGTTATTGTTGTCTTGAATGGCAGTGGGAATATTAGCATTTGTACAGGATTAAAAAAAAATCTTTAATTTGTATATAGCAGAGTATTTCCAAAATGTCACTTGCATTTCAGTTAGTACTGATTTAATCCATTTCACAGAAAGTATACTAAGCTTTAGAATGGGTAATGATAATAGAGGTGAAGAGGTAACATACTATACAATGAAACCATTTTTTGCAGTTCCCTAAAGAGAATTAGTAAAAACAATCTTTATAAGATTCTCGTTATCTTTCATGGTAGGAAACTTAAGCGATAAAAGGAGGAAAAAAGTCAAACCCTTGGAAATGTGCTGAGATAAAAAAGGAAATGTGATTATGGAGATAAAAGCAGCAATTACTGTCATCTCAGAAGTTTATATGCATGCCCAAAGCACCTTTAGGAAGACAAAAATATGTTCAGCACTTACAAACGATCGCAGCGCTGAGAGTATGCTTGATATTGTTGCATTGGGGTCATCATATTCTTGTGGCTGCTCGAAGGGATGTCCTGCTTTAGTAATCAGCCATGCAGCAAGCACACAAAACATATAGAACTGCTCACCAGGGTTTGTAGGCAATGCGAAGTAATGCCTGGTCAAAATAGGGGAAACATCATTCTCTGACCTCTCCACTAGAGGGCAACACAGTATAGGCAGGCTCCTCTTAACAAGTCCCTTAAAATGCTCATTCTCTCAAAGTAGCTTCACAATATTCAGCCATGAGCTAATACAAAAGCTTTGAACCAAAGCTCATAGCAGCTGTGTAACTTGTGGTGGGCCACTGGGGCACAAGCCCCAGGCACTAAGTTAAAGGGAGTGCCAGGGAAGCAGGTGGGGATCAGGGTCAGCTCAGCGCCACCAAATTCCATGTTGCCACACTCTGTTGGCACAGTGACTTGCACAGTGCTACTGGCGTTTGCAACCTGGGAGCAAATCTTATCAGCTACACCTCTGGCTCACGCTATCTATGGAATACATGAATATAGGGTGAATCCATACAGACCTAAAATTACTACATATAATTAATGTCTCCTGCAGAGTGAATGATAAAGACCAGATCATATGAGGAGAGGCTGAAAGACTTGGGACTGCTCAGTCTGGAGAAGGGAAGACTCAGAGAGGACTTGGTGGGAGCCTATAAGTATATCAGGGGTGTATATCAGGGCTTGGGCAAGAGCATCTATTCACGAAAGCCCCCCAGGGAGGACAAAAAATAATGGGCACAAATTGATTGAAGATCACTTCAGGCTAGACATAAGGAAAAACTTTAAAAGTCAAGTGCCCAGGGTTTAGAACAGGCTCCCCCTAAAGGTGGTAGTTATTTCCCCTGGTGATCTTCAAAAAGTGTCTTGATGCCCATCTTGCTGGGATCATCTCATCCCAGCAGTCTTTCCTGCCCAAGTGCAGGGGGGCTGGACCTGATCATCTGTAAAGTCCCTTCCAGCCCCTTACAACGATGAAACTATGAAACGATGAGCCAACAAGTGCAGTATGGTAATATAAACCAGTGCTGTATAACTGGTGGCCTATAGGCCACATGTGGCCCAAGAACCCCTGCAGTCTCCTCTCCCACAGTTGCACCAGGTGGAGGGCCCATGTCAGGGGAGGGGGTGAGAATCACAGAGGCCCACACTTGTAGCATATGACTGGCACAGTGTACTACCCAGGGGCTGCTGGGAAGTTAGACAGCCCTGACATAAAATGTGGTGTTGGAGCTTCTAGGAACTAATCAGACTTGGACTCTCAGCCCCTCGCTGATGCAGTTTAGTTATCAGCAGCTGGGTTAGCTTATCCAAACTGAACCTAGTCACTCTTCTAAGTCACCCTAAGGCTCCTAAAAGATATGAGGCTCATTCTGTTTCCAGTGACTTCCATTTTGAATGTAGCACCAGGCCCTACAATGCCAAAACATCATCGAGTAGTGAGGGAGCTGTGCAATAATTGAAACTAATTAAAATGCCATCTAAACTGCGTAACACCTGTAACATTTTTAAAGCAGTAAAAAATGAGTTAGGCATTCCATCTGCAACACTGCATTACTTCCAAGTATCCAGGACTTCTTTCATTTAAAGTATACATTTCTGATATAGAAGTTATTTGTCATTACAAAATTTACATTGAAAACCTACACTTAACACAGTGTATCAAAACTTATACACAACACATTGAAATTTATACAAAACACATTGAAACAGTAAATACGCTGGACATAGAACAATATTAAAGGGAACTATAAGGGGAAAAAAACTCAGATACCCCCCTCTGTGGTAGCAGTCAAATGGAAAATAAAAATAACTATAAGTTCTAATAAATGGCTGTACATAAAGGCTAATAATAATAATAATGTTATAGGAAAAATAAGCAAAGAAAGTATCACTATCAATGCATTTCCACACATAATAAAAAAAATCTGGCAGGGAACCTATTTCAGATTGTATACAGAAGCCCATTAAGGTGACATACCAAATGGTAAGTAATTTTTAAATCCTACATTCCTCTCAAAGATACCTAAAGGGACTTTACAGATGTGTAAAAAAAGCTTATTAAAAGATAAAATGCAAGACATTCAAAAAGATATACAGTCCCTGGTATCAATCTTGCAAACATATACTCCCACAATTAACCCCTTGAATTCTTACTGAATTCAAACAGGTTACTTTTGGTGAAGTTACCCACATGCAGAAGCCTTAGCACATTCAGGGCCTTAGTATGTTATAACCATATCAAACCCAACATCATCCTTGTACCAAAAAAAGGGCCCTGAATATTTCTGCAACTTCCCTTGTTAGAGGCTTTAAAGTATTTTGAAAGGCCCTTTATTATGAAAATGTGCCTATACAGATGGCACAAGGGTATGGGGTGGTCTTTTTTCTTGGACCAACTGTATAGTTGGCAGAGATGTTAGACAAGGTTTGGGGGGGAAAAAAACCAGAGGGATCCAAAGAAGGCTATTTTATACCCTAAAACAAGTCTAACATCTCTTTCAACCACAAAGTTGATCCAATAAAAATAGCATTAAAAAACCCTTGCTTCTCAAATATTTCCTGGACTATCAGGGCAGCACCAACGCTCTAAGCCTATACAGGCAACAGCCCTCCTGGCCTCTCTACAGAGATTTATTTCTGGATGCAGATTAGACAGGTCATTTTTCAAGGGTGGCCAAAATGTAACTGATGGGCCAACAGTAACCTAAGGAGTTTATAAATATTCAGCTCCACTCAAGTAAAACTAAAACTCTTCAATAATGTGCCTATTTAAAAGATCCTGGGGTAGAATTTAAGCTGGCAGAAAGGCATTTGACCAGGACTATCCAGGCCTGTCTTAATGGGGATTTTTACTCCAACTTCATCACTACCGTATTTGCGTGACACAGCAGTGGGAACCTGTCATGTGATGCAGCCAACACTAGTCTTTGGCTTTTCAGCAGCTGACAGCTGATCTTTTGACAGCCTGTCTACCTTCCCAGCAAGGGAAAGGGCAGGCTGTCAATGGCTGGGATCCCCTTGGAGTGTGGGAAACCAAGGAGCAGCCCTCTATCACCTCCTGACCAGAGAGCTTGTGACTCTAGCTCTCCAGTTAGGGAGTCTGGATTGTTTTCCTGGCCGTGGAAATTTTGGGACCTCAAACTGAACATCTGCCCATACTCTTTGGCTTTCATTCCTTTTCCTAGAGATAAAAAAAAAAGACTTTCCAAGCTTATGGTGTTGCTAGCTTCTGTAAGTCAACAGCACACCAGGGGCTGATTGGCTAGCATTGTGTCTGGCTGCCTTTAACTCCCCAGATCATATAACAAAGTACTACTTTATGTCTGGGATGACTGAGGCTTGCCTTTTGGGACAAGTCTGGAATAACCTAAATTCAGGCCTTGGGAGCTGTAGTGAGACATCCCAACCAGTTTGTCCTCAAGCCTATTATTATTATCATCATCATTATCATCAATATCAATAAGATGATGATAAAAATAAACATATTTTATACTCTAGGGGAAAGTTGCAATGTGACAAACCTCAGACTTTTGCAAGAAGCATGATGGTAAGTGACATCAAGAGCTGGGATTTGGTTTTTAAAAGTGATCTGTGAAATATTTTCCAAAACAGACTGCACTGATATTTTTTTAATCCTTTGGGGAGTAAAAAGAAAAGGTCTGGAAGGCTTGTTCAATCTATGCCTTTCTCTCCCTACCCCCCATCCCACTCTCTTCTTCCTTGAATATGACAACATCCACTGTATACTTTGACTGAATCAGAGAAGCATAAGCTTTCATGAACAAGAGCTCACTTCATCAGACACTATATAACTCATTCATCATAAAAACTAATGAAAGTGTATGCATCTCTGATTCAATTAAAGTGCATCTTCACCCTGCCTTCTGCCTGACTTCAGACTAATACCACTAACTTCCTCTCATTATCTGTTTTAACTTCCTTGATTTTTATGCAAAACATCTGAAGGTCTCTGTGTACACTAATCACTTCCATCTTAACTGATGAGGTCAGGGGTTTGAATCTTAAAACCAAAATCTCCACTGTAACAGGAATAGCCAGTTCCACTACTGGGAAAGGGCTGAAGGACAAGGAAAACCTGCAAGCCGTTTAAGAACAGGACTTTTGTAGCCTGGAGAGGCAAGGACTCAGAAATGGGAACCCAAGTCCAAGGAGGAACTAGGAGCTTAGATCCCCGAGACTAGCAGGGGAGAAGTGTTCAGTCTAGAGGCTGCAAGGCTGAGAAAGACTGGTACCCGCAACAATAAGCTGTACTGAGAAGGCAGCCACTAGAACAGAACTGCGAGTCCCTTGGGGATCCAGCTGTCTAGCAACAGGCTTCACAGAAGCTGCACTAGGCCAGGAGTAAGCTAAAGGCTGCAAATAGGTAGGGACACTGCTGAATGACAAGCAGCTGCCTCAGACTGCAGACTCACCTCTCACAGAGGCCCTAGGAGAGGGGTGGTCAAAATGCAGCCTGTGGGCCGGATTTGGCTTGTCAGGCCATTCTTTCCAGCCCGCAGGGCCCCTAAAAAATTTAGAAAATTAATATTTATCTGCCCCTGGCTGCCTGTCATATGGTCCTCAATAGCTTGCCAAAACTCAGTAAGTGGCCCTCAGCCCAAAATAATTGGCCATCCCTGCCCTAGGAGATAAAGAGAAACCCCTGCACCCAAGCTGAGCAGCAGAGATAAGCTGGCCAGTATATGAGCTTGCCTCCTGGGCAGAATGGGGCACCCTGGCCCTGACTGTTGAGGAACAAGGAACTCTGCTGCTTGATATGGGGAACCCAGAGTCACAAGGAAAGAAGCCACTAGAAGAGGCAGGGGAGCTGCTATATCAGGAGTGTGCCTGTGCCAGGTAACATTTTTGTTAAGGACTGTTACCCAGTGGGCCTTTGTGTTTCTGTTAGGAATCTGATAACGACCAGAGGACTAGGAGTGATTGTGAGGGTGTGTTTGAAGGCCACAAAGCAGAGTGCCCAGCATGCTGCGATCTTGACTTCGGCAAGGGACAATAGCCTGAAGCAGCATAGGCTGAGGCCATGGGGCCAAGAGCCAGAGCTGAGGGGCAGAGGCCAGGGAGGTTCAGGCCTATCTGAGAAATGTGGGCCTTATGCCCATGGGACAAGGGTTATCCCCCACTGCTAACAGAGGGGGCTACTGGGCATGCACCAGCTGAACCTGTGGGACAACTACAACGCAGAACGGGGACAGGAGCAAAAGCTGCTGTGCCAAATGAGCGGGCTGAGGGGGTCATACCAGCGAAGGTTACCAACTCTGTTTAAATCTATTCCAGGTTTCATAACACGATGTAATGACACGAATGGCTTCATGTCAGGAAGGCAAATGCAATGTTCCTATTACATTTTAAAAACCCACTGGACAACTGTAAAAATCAGATTCAACATTTAATAAATATTTATTTTAATGAATGCCCTGTCATTGACCTCCCAGGTGACTCTCAGCAGTCTCCTGGAGATTTAGATCTAATTTCTGGAGGCTCCAGGGCAGTCCTGGAGGGCTGGCAAACCTAGCACCAGCCAGTGCCCACTGGACTGTGAACAAGTTCAAGGAGCAAGTGCCTGCTGCCCAGTAAAATGCTGCCCAGAGAGGTGAACAGACTAGGGCCAGGGAGAGTGCTCAGGTGTGGCTGCCGGCCAGCTACTTTGGCCCCTGGGACACCTGTGGAAGGATCTAGGACTCCCCCCTCAGAGGCGGGGCGCTGGGCCGTAGCAAGCCACACCTCCGACCGTAAGTCACGCCCCACCCCGGCAGCAAGCCACGCCCCCTGCAGGTAGACCCCCCCCCGGGTGACGTCACAGGCGAGGAGGCATGTAGCCCCTGGTTAGCGCCCCCTCTGCCCCGCGCCGGCAGCGGCTTCCGGGTCAAGGGTCACCTGGAAAGGGGCCGCATGTTGTGGCGCCGCAGCGCCTCCTCCTCGTAGTCAAGCAGCTTCAGTTTCTCCAGCAGATCCTCCATCGTCACGAACATGTGATAGGCTGCGCCCGGGCCCCGCTCCACCGCCGCCTCCGCCCCCTCCCCGCCACGCCGCTCGCCGCCGCCGCCCTCCTCCGCCATCTCCAGCCTCCCCCTGCCCAGGGCCTCCAAGGCGCTGCTCCGACCCGGCCACCGCGCCGTCACCGCGGCAACGAGCTCCGCCAATCGCCTCTTTGCACAGCTCGTTTAGCTCCGCCCCCACGGGGAAGCAACCAATCACGCACTCCGTACACCATACTCTTGCACCAATCACCTCACAGCTCGCGGGCCCCGCTGGCTTGCGGGGGGCTGTTCCACTCCTCGCCCGCCCCCCGCGGAATTGGCACGCAGGCGGAGGACTGGGGCGCCGGAGCGCCAGAATGTCGAGTTCTGTTGTGACGTGTCGTGACGTCACCGCCATCCCGGGGCGCGCGCACGTTCAAGCATGTGCACCCATTCACACGCCCGTGCACGTTCACACGGATACGCACCCATAGTCACCCACGCACACGTGCACCCCCCACTCATACTCCCCACACAGATGCACCCCACTGTCACCCCCAAACACACACGCACTCCCATTGACGCCCCCGCACACACGCATTCCCTATTCACACACCCCTTACAGGTGCACCCCTATTCACCCCTCCATGCACGCACGCCCATTCACACATGCCCCCCCATTTACACACACCCTCGTTCCCACACGCAGAAGCGCACACCCATTCCCACACACGCAAACACGCACACCCATTCTCACATATACACTATTTATACACACACATTCCCCTATTCAAAGAGCCCCACTCAAACGCCTGTATACACGCCCGTTCACACGCACCTTTCCCACACTCGCACCCCCACTGAGCCTCATTCTCATTCATACACAAACACGTACACCTTCACACAAATACACACACCTATTCACACCCCTCATTCACACACGTCACCAGTCACACGCACTTCTCTCACGTACGGGCATCCAGCCACACAAAGCATGCACACACAAAACCACTCAAATACACGCACACCCATTCACACAAACGCACACCCATGTACACATTGAACCATTCACATGGATACCAACAAACGTGCACGTACACCCACTCACACCTGCGCCCATTCACACGCATGCACACGCATCCCCATTCCGTACATGCACACACAAACATGCACTCATATACATATGCATGCACACACATCCACACACATTCCCCATTCAAAAACAGGGAGGCCCATTCAGACACACACCAACAGCCATGCATACATACACACAAACATGCAGACCCATACATCTATTCACATCTCCCCATTCACACGCACACTCCCATTCACACCCATAAAACATTCACACACACTCAGACACACGCACCATTCACATGCGCACGTACTGCCATTCACACACACATACACAGGCACTCCCATTCACACACTTTTCACGCATGCACCTCCATGGACACACAAACCGTTCCCACAAACATGCACACGCACGCCCATCCTCGCATGCACCCCACAGACGCACACGCAAACGTGCCATCATGCCCCTGTATTCACACACGCACCCCCCCATTCACACCTCTTCCCCCCATCACAAGCCCGTGCGCCCCTTCACATACACAAACCACTCGCGCAGGCGCACACAAAACCACAAACACGTACGTTCATTCACGCATCCATTCACACGCGCGCGTGTACCCATTCACGCCCCCCAGTCACACAACACACGCGCGCGTGCACACCCGTTCCACCAGACCGAAACACGCTCATTGACGCCTTTTCACACCCCCCTCGCAGGCACCATTCGCACCCAAACACAACGGTACACACCCATTCACTCACACACACACACACACACACACACACACATACACACACACACACACACACACACACGTATATATAAAAGGAGTTACGTTTGTCTCATTCCCGAGGGCAGACGTTAAGAACAACGCCGTAAAACCATGAGAGTTGACAACACGTCAACGCACGCCGGTTCTCACGCGCCCAGCATGAGCCGGTGCCTGCCAGGGTCACACAAAGCGCGATCGCCCTCTGCTGTCAGTTGTGGTTGGAAGTGCGGGGTGGGACGGTGCAAGCTGCCACCTTCAGCCCGCGCGGAGCAACTTGAGTTGGCAGCCCGCTGCTCCAGCGCCAGGCTCGACCGGGCCACAGGTAAGTGCCTGGCACGGCAGGGCTGGGGGTGGGCGCAGCAGGTGCTCTCGGGCCGGGGGCCGCAGCTTTCATTCCTCTTCCAAGGGGACAGAGAGCAGAGCTTCTGTGGCAGAGATCCCAGCCCGCAGCGCAGAAATCTCTGCGTTTCCCTCCTGAATCGGGTTTGCTGCCCCAGTGTGGGGCACCCTGCCACACCCTTGAAAGGATCTCAAGGCGAATGAAAGGATCTCCAGGGTGCTGCGGTGCCCTGGCTGGGTTCCTCCTGGCAATCATCTCCAACGTTTGTTTTAATGAGTGCTTCCCAACTTCAGCAGCAACTGATTAACTACCGCATAGTTTGGAAGCAGACTTTTTTCTTTCAAAGACAAAACAAAGCAGGTTTTTTGGCTGGTTTATTCCTTGCCTATATTAGCGTACAGGCTTGATTTATATAAATCAAGCCTGTACGCTAATGTAGACAAGAAATAAACCAGCAAAAAAACAAAACAAAACTATTGTTTGGTTAGCCTTTGATATATATAACTCAAACCTGTACACTACTGTAGGTGAGGCATAAACCAGGAAAAACAAACAAACCATGGTTTGTTTAGCCTTTGATTTGTATAAATCCAGCCTGCATGCTAGTGTAGGAAAGAAATAATCCAGCCAAACAGCTATGCTTTTTTTCGCCTTTGAAAGAAGGAAACCTGCTTCCAAACTATGTAGCAGTAGTTAGCTGCTGCTGAAGTTGTGAAGCACAGAGAGAGAGTGAGAGCTAGCTAGATAGCTCTCTCTCTATATAGATAAATATATCTATATTTCTCTCTCTCTCATTTATTTATTTATATATAATCAATACATTCATAGCCTCATAATTATTTTTCTCTTTCTCCTTTATATATACAAGAAGTTAACTCTGAACTTTCCTCTCATTTTACTTACTGGCAACTTTGCATAAATGATGACTCAAATCCCAAGGAACAGTAAGGGCATATCTAGGTGCTTCCAGATAGGAGCTAAAGTGCACCCAGTGTGTACTCCTTCCCATCTAGGCTGCAAGGTCAGGTGCAGCACATGGGATAGGCTTGACCTGTGAGGAGAGTTGGCACTGCAGACAGGTTACGTAAATGGATTTTAAGGTAGCACTCAGGGTAAAACACTTGACAGGCGGACTGACTGGAAACCAAGCCCTAGAGGTACGTGTTTTCCAGAAACTGATTGTAAGAAGGGGGGAGGGCGGGGAGGGAAAGGCATGATTTATTGTTTGAGATTCTTTGTGGGGTGTGTATAAAGTGAGATTGCTAGGGCGAACCTAGCCGTTGAAGGAAACCAAGAAAGAGCTAGTTTTGCAGGACAGCTAGGCTTGGAGGGACAAGCTGTCTAGCTGGCTTTATACAGACAAAACCCTGATTGTTTGGACCAGCTGTGGTAACAGAAAGAACAAGCCAGGGCACTGTTGGTAGAATGACCACATTTTTCAAAACAGAAAGGCGAGACATGCCTGCAGCCCCCTACTGCCCGCCCCCGCCAGCAGCATGGCTAGAGCAAAGCTGAGTGGAGCAGGGATGGATGTTGGCTGGTCACTGCAAGCTTGGGGCTCCCCACCCTGCTGCCTCTCCCCTGGGAACTCTCTGCCAGCTATGTGCCCCCTGTTCACCCAGCGGTGGCTCTGCCCCACTCCATGCCCTGGCCCCAGGCTCCATGTGCTGCCCTGGCTAGGCAGCGCCCCCAGCCCTGGCCCCTGCCCCACTCCCTCCGTCACTGTGGGGGCCTTAATCTGTGCCCCCCTTCCCCTCCCATGCCCCACCCCCATAGATTTACCTGCAGGGAGCTTTCCATGCTGCTTGGCTGTATTCCCAGTCAGGTGCATGAGTGGGGGCATGCGCATGCATGTGGTGTCCCCTGCATCCCCAGCAGTCCCTTGCAGGCTGGAATGCTGCCAGCCTGGAAGGGGAAACCTGCCATTTTCTGTGGTGAATGAAAAACCTGGATTCCTGCACATGATACTGTGAATCTGGGACAAATGCTGTCCTGGAGTCATGCAGCCTGGGACCGGGACTTGATGTTCCCATTTTGGGACTGTCTTGCCCAGTTAGTGACGGGTGCTCACCCTAGGTTGGGGCCAACATTTTTGGCAGGAGTGGAACAAATTAGCTCTGTACCCAAGTGCTACTCCAGTCTCCTTGCCCTGCCTGATCTGCCGCTGCTTTCTTCCCTGTCTTCCCTGTGCTGCCTGTCCCTTTAACTGCCGTGTGCTACACATAGATGCTGCCAGTACCTGGCCAGCCCTGAGCTAGGGTATAAACTTTTATAAATGCTCTGTGGTGCCATGCACACCATTGTTGCCACTGTCCAACTCATTGCTGCCCCTTTGGGTTATCAGCTTTCTAAGACTTCTGAATGTCATGCTGATCAATATAAGTCTCTTACCTCATCTGCTTTCTCATGCCTTCTGCATAGATCACAAACAGTTTAGGACTGATGTTCTCTGGTTGCCCAAGAACAGAATCTGGGCATCATCCTACTGACAGTTATTTTCTACTCTGGAAAAAAAATGCTTTCATACTGTTTCTGTGGCACTGAAATTTTGACCCCACCTTTGTGCGTCTCATTTGGTGAGCACCACTGAAGAAAACTCTACCAAGGGTGTACAGGAAGCAAGTCACAGTAATAGAAGTGCTTGTCCCCTGAGTAGGGTGGCCATCATAGAGGACAGTCTGGTTGTCCTCTGTCCTCTATTGATATGAAACCGGACGCCTTTATGTCCTCTATTTTTCTCTTGAAGAGACAAATAGAAGCCGGTCTCTCACCCATTGACTCCTCAATCTACATCTTCCCTGACTGCCTGTCTTGTATACAGACCAGACCAGCCTCTGGCTTCTTTTACTTTTCATTCCATCCAAGAAGAGCACACACCAACTGCTGAAACTTCCTCAGCCTGAGGAAGGGTTTTTTAACCCAAAAGCTTGCTTAAAAATTGTTTTCCAACTATTTAAGTTGGTCTAATAAAAGATACCAGATTCACCCAAAGAACCTTGTCTGCCTATTATCAGCAATCGGCTTTTTTTGACCCATATAGCCAATGTCACCAAAAAATGCCACGTGCATGTGTGCAGCCGCAACATGCACGCAGCCAGGAATACAGCCTGGCAGCATGGAGAGCAGTGTCCCGATAAGTCTGTGGGAAGGAAGGGGTGTAGGGGGTGCAGACTGAAGCTCCCACAGTGAGAGAGGGAGTGGGTGTGGGGCAGGAGCATGGGATGCCCAGCTCAAAAATATTGAGGGGCTGGGGGACATGACTTAGGAGGAGAGGCTCAGGGAACTGGGCTTATTCAGTCTGGAGACGAGGAGACTGAGAAGGGATTTAATAGCAGCCTTTAACCACCTGAAGGGGGTTCCAAAGAAGATGGAGCTAGACTCTTCTTAGAGGTGGCAGATGACAGAACAAGGAGCAACGGTCTCAAGTTGCAGCAAGGGAAGTTTAGGTTAGATATTAGGAAGAATGTTCTCACCAGGAGTGTAGTAAAACACTGGAACAGGTTACCCAGGGAGGTTGTGGAAGCTCCAACCTTGGAGGTTTTCAAGATCTGGCTAAACAAAGCTTTGGCTGGTATGATATAGTTGGGGCTGATCCTGCTTTGAGCAGGGAGTTGAAATAGATGACCTCCTGAGGTCCCTTCCAACCCTAGCTTTCTATGATTCTGTGATCAAGGCTGCTCAGGACCACAAAGCAGTGAGGGGACAGCTGTGGCTAGACCCATGTCCTGGTGAAAGAATGGGGCACGGGGCATAGGAGGAGGGAGGAAATATTATTGGGGGGGGTGCTGAGCGCTCCCTCACCATGGGGGCCTTGATCTGCACCCCCATGTCTCTTCCCCATGATAGACTTACCTGCTGCTGTGAGAAGTGCTCTACATGCCTCCAGGCTGCTGCAGGCTGCGCTGTGTGTCTGTGCATGCCCCTCCCCCACTAGCTGCAGCTGCCTGTGCCCAGGCTGCCCTGTAGCCCTACCTGCTGCCAACACTGCCCTGTGTTTGGGCTAAACCCTGTGAGCCTCAGCCTTCTGCCAATGGCAGGGGAAACTCTGTTTTTCCATAATAGAAAAAAACCCCAAATCAAACACCAAAATATATAGGTATTTAGAATTTATTTTATTATAAAGCTTGAAGCAGTGGTAGGCTCCTAATTGCTTTAAAATTGTAAATTTATCAATAAAACATTGTGTTCAATTGATACCTATATATAAATATGTATATACACAGAGAGAAAGGTGTTTCATTTTAATTGTGGAAAAATACAAACTTTGGATTTTTAATCTGAGTTTTGGATTTTTTATAAGAGAATTTGGGATTTTTAAACAGAAAACCAGGAACCCTGCTAAACACGTGACAGACTGAGAGAGGGGCTGACAAAGGGATTCTGGGTGAATTGTTTGAGGCCCTGTCTGGTGATGTTTTCCAGGTATTTAAAGCTGGTGAAAAAACTGGAATAATTGGAAATGGGAAAGAAAGATACAGCTCAGCTGTTGGAGTGAAAAGAAAGTTGAAATGTATGCAGCATAGTGACATGACTTGAAAAAGAGCGGGTGTTGAGGGAGACTGTGTCCAGTGGGCACTATCATCTATCATGCATCTTATTTAGATGGGCTGCACTAAGCTATCCTTGTATGTTCCCATCAATTTTGTGGCAATGGGGGGCTGCTTTTGCGCCTTCATTCCTCCTCGGTCTTTTGGCTAGTAGCAAGCAAGATACATTTTTTGCACTAGGTGAGTGTGTTGGCGCTTGCTCTGGCTTCTTCAGGTGCCAGCCTAGGACTGCCTCCAGGCCCAGTGCTCGAGAGGCCAGCCTGTTATTGCAGTACCTCCAGGCCCAGTGCTCATTCCTTCTTGGGGGAGCAAATGCCTATTTTTAAGGGATGGATAGACAGATGGACACACGCATGCATGCATATGTGCGCGCACACACACGCACACGCAGAGCATTAGCTGCATTTAATCAATACAGAGTTGGTTTCCATTACT